GTCCACTTCTGAGTTCTCAATTCTGTTCCATTGGTCTATGTGTCTGTTTTTGTGCCAATACCATACTGTCTTGATGGTGACAGCTTTGTAGTAGAGGCTAAAGTCTGGGATGGCGATCCCTCCCGTTTTGGTTTTATTTTTCAGTATTACTTTGGCTATTTGGGGGTCTTTTGTGGTTCCATACAAATTTTAGGATAGTTTGTTCTAGTTTTGAGAAGTATGCTGGTACAATTTTGATTGGAATTGCATTGAATGTGTAGATTGCTTTTGGTAGTAATGACATTTTAACTATATTTATTCTTCCTATCCATGAGCATGGAATGTTTTTCCATTTCTTTGTTTCTTCTTCAATTTCTTTTATAAGTTTTCTATAGTTTCCATCTTACAGATCTCTTGTATCCTTGGTTAGGTTTATTCCTAGGTATTTTATGGTTTTTTGTGCAATTGTGAATGGGATCAGTTTCTTGATTTCTCTTTCTTTTGCTTCATTATTGGCGTATAAAAATGCAACCAATTTCTGTACGTTGATTTTGTACCCTGCAACTTGGCTGAATTCTTGGATCAGTTCCAGTAGGCTTCTGGTGGAGTCTGTCGGGTTTTCTATGTAGAGTATCATGTCGTCTGCGAAGAGTGAAAGTTTGACTTCCTCTTGGGGCAGAACATTCTTGACTAACCTGTTAAAATTACATTTTCAGGGGTGTTTGAAACTGCAGTGATGGTGCATATTTAGCCTCAGTTTGGTGACCTGGCCTGGCATCGGTGACTCTACCTTGGGCCTGTGGCTTTCTTAACAACCCCAATGAAGCAGGCTGTGCATCTGTTTTGGTCCCTGCTGGGAGTGTATTTCTTGGCACACTGCTGTCCCTCCAGAAATACTGAGTGAATACAATGCAGTAGAAACTTTTCACAAAGGAGGCGAGGGCAATGATGCCGAATGCTTTAAGAAGCCAAAGTGAATGAGGAATTTCTCAGTTTGTTTTCCACCATAAAGTTCTTTCATGGCACAAACGCTAGTACATTGACCACGTAAACTGATTTTGGCTGATGTGCTTTGAGGATCTACTGAGTACTTGGAAGCCCATCATCACATTTGCTTCTTAGGAATGCCCCTGAGGGGTATAGTATTATTATCATTCTTATTTTGCAGATGCTGATGAAGAAATAAAGGCTCAAAAAAAGCTAGGTAACTTTTCCAGAGTCACAAAGCTAGAAGAGTCAAGGATGTTCTGATTAAACGTGTCGCTCTATTACCTTTCCCCACCGTTAATCACATCTAGAAGGTTGTCAGGTGGTCGGTGGTCAAGACACGTATTTACTGAGTGCTCACTGAGCCAAGCACTCAGTGTACTGTAGGAAATGTGACCCAAGAAAGCCAGTCCCTTTCTGAGCTGACTGAAGTGAAGGAAGGCAGAAAATTAGAAACCACCTCAAATGCTGAGCCTTGCAAAGAATAAAACTCAGGAACCCCGCCTTGGCTGGGGTGGCGGCACCGAAGTGAAAGACATCACAGACTTCGTTTTGCTCTGAAAATGAAGTTTCAGGGCCCTGCCCTTAGTTGCTGTTGGCAGCAGCCAGACATTTTCAAGCTTGTTTTGTTCTGTGGGAGGGTTCAGTTACTGTACAGGTGGGTTCAATAGATCTGTGGGTAGCAAGTCCAATCTCCACCCAGACCAGCTCAAACCGGTTTCAATGTTTTCACAGCCAGGGAAATACACACTCTGTGAAGTGTGCCTTTAAATACACTCAGTTTGAAGGAAGAATTAAAGTTAGGCCCTGGGTGTAGAAGTGATACCGGATCTCTCACCTCTTCTGCCGGTGTTACTTGAAGCAAGGGAAGGCCATCTCTCACATCTGTGTGAGGAAAAAGCTGCTGTTTGACTCGATGCAAATCTTGAAAAACAGACGCCTGTCTACATTCCTCTCTTTCCCCAAACTGACACATAGAAAAAGTTGACAGGAAAGTGCTAACAAGACACAATTGCAAAAGTTAACACTAACACCGGAAGGAATTCATCCCTGTGAAAATAAAAAATAAGAGAACAAGTTTCTTTGTTATTTCTCCCTTGGTTCAGAGTGTTTGTGTATTGCACATACTTAATAGATGAATCGTATGTCTGACGATACAGAAATCATAGTCCCCACCATTGTGACAGACATTTAGTAGGCCAGAGATGTTAGAGTGTCAGTGGAGAATCGCCGTCCATTCATTTGCTGATTTAGTGAATGTTGAATAAACAGTTATTGAATAAACAGTGCCTACTCCATGCCCAAGGGAAGGGAATGGGCAAAATTCCTGCCCTTGTGATGGCCCAGATAAATAGAGTAGAGAAGGGACATGGGGAATATAGGAGGGGGCTGTTAGTAGTTTTTGATAGAGTGGTCATGGCAGTGGCATTGGAGCAGACATCTGAGGGAGTTTTGTAGTAAGCCATGCAGAAACCCAGGAAGAACCTTCCAGACAGAGAGACTGCATGCCAAAGCATGACGTGAAAGCTTGGCGCTTTCAAGGAAGAGCAAAGAGGTCAGGGTGGCTTGCATAATGAGGGAAGCAAGAGATAACTGGGTTCAGCTCATGTAAGGGTTTCATAGGCCATTGTAAAGACTTCAGTTTTTACTCTGGGTCAGAGGGGAAGGTGTAGGAGAATTCCGATTTGAGGGTATTAATGCCCATGATACTTAACCTTCACACAGCATTTACTAGATGCTGGACACTGTTCTAAGTACTTTATGTATATCAATTCATTTATTTCCTATTTCAACCTTATAGGTTTCATTCTCATTTATACAGATGATGGAACTATGACTAAAAAATTAAGTAACTTGTCCTAAGTCACAGAACTGCTATGTAATAGAACCATAATTCAAACCTAGGCAGTTTGGCTATTGCCCATGTCCTCTTTTCCAGACCACACAGTGAGACTACATTTCCTGACTGCCCCTGCAGTTAGGTTGTGGCCATGTGACTGAGTCATGGCCAGTGGAATGTGACCAGAAGTGAAGGGTGCTACCTCCAGCTTGCACTTGCAGTCCTTCATCCCCTTACCTCATCTTCCTGCTGAATATAGAGAGCTTCAAGGTTCTAATGGAAGGTAGAGCCACAAGATGAAAGGATCCTGAGTTAAAAAAAAATTTTTTTAGCGTTTATTTATTTTTGAGATATGTTGGGGGGCGGTGCAGAGAGAGAGAGGGAGACACAGAATTCGAAGTAGGTGCCAGGCTCCGAGCTGTCAGCACAGAGCCCAATGCAGGGCTTGAACTCACCAACTGTGAGGTCATGACCTGAGCTGAAGTCAGACACTTAACCAACTGAGCCACACAGGCACCCTGAGCCTAGGTTTTTAAATCACCACATGGAAGCCCTCCTGTAGATCAGTAACTGTCCCTTAAAATTCACAGTAAACTTCTATTGTGTAAGCCAACAAGAATTATCATTCAGGTGATTGTTTTAAAAGTCTTGAATTTAGGGACACCTAAATTGGACCCTCTGTCTCCCTCTCTTTCTGCCTTTCCCCCACTCATTCTCTCCTTTTCAAAAATGAATAACCATTAAATAAAATAAATAAATAATAATAACATAAATAAATAATAATAAAATAATAAAAAACAAAAGTCTTGAGTTTAGGGTTGAAGGTGGCATGACCCTCACAGTATATTAAGGGAGACAGGCTTGTGAATGATGGCAATACAGTTGTCTAATACAGGCAGCCAGAGAGAAGTCTGCTGCTCAGAGAAAGGAGTTCTAAACACTATCTAAACACCTCTACCTGGTGACATCTGACTAGGGCAATGAAGGGTGCATAGGAGTTTGGAGTGAGAAAGTATGGGGAATAGTGGTGGGGTCAGTTCAGTGACATCTTGTGCAAAGGCATGAAACGGAGGAGGAGTCTGGGAAGGATGAGATGTCCTATCACCCAGTTTATCTCATTTTGCTCATTCCTGCTTTCCATCCTCCTGAGCCCTTTGACCTGAGGAGGCATCATACCCCAGTGGTTAGTTATGTTAAACATTCTTTTATTCTGAGACTTGCCAAAATGGTAAGAACTATTTATTCAAGACTGTTGTGATGGGTGTCAAGAAAAGAGAAAAGAGGAGAGATGGGTAACTCCACATACAGCAAAAGCAGCTGGGGATTGACAGCCAATGAGAAGACTGAAGAGGTTAGTGCATGGAAAAGTGCTAAGACATTATGAGATTCCTGCTAAAGACAGGCCAGGCTGATGAGATATCGGGTGGTGGGGGGTGAGGAATTTCATCAGATTCCAAGGGGGATTAGATATCAAGGGGGCAGTTTCTCTAAACTGACTTAGTAAGGTTCTTGTTACAACTAGACACAGCAAGGTGAGGGTGAGGACAAGGTCGAGGCCTAGTGGAGGAGAGGGTTCAGAGGAGTTTGAAGTTTGGTTAAGGAGAGCGTCTTTAGGGGCGCCGGGGTGGCTCAGTTGGCTAAGCATCAGACTTCAGCTCAGGTCATGATCTCACGGTTCGTGGGTTTGAGCCCCACATTGGGCTCTGTGCTGACAGTTCAGAGCCTAGAGCCTGCTTCCGATTCTGTGTCTCCTTCTCTCTCTGCCCCTCCCTGCCTCCAGTTCGGTCTCTCTGTCTCAAAAATAAATAAATGTTAAAAAAAAAAAAAAAAAAAGGAGAGCGTCTTTATCAGGTACTTGGGCTCTTGAACAGGAATGCCTGGATCTGGATTTTTCATACTGCCTCATATTGAGCTAGTTGCTTGATCTCTCTGTTCCAGTTAAATGGAGACGATAATATCTGTTTCATAGGGATACTGTGAGAAATAAGTGGGTTAAATATACAAAGCACTTAGAATGGGGCCTGGCACATGGCAGGCACTCAATAAATTTTAGCTGCTGAAGCTGATTTTGCTTCTTAAAATTGTTATTAATTTCTTGGACTATAAAACAAGCATTCAGAAAGCAGAGAAAGTTGGCAATCAAAAAGAATGAAATCCTGCCATTTGCAACTACATGGATGGAACTAGAGGATATTATGCTAAGTAATATTACTCAGTTAGAGAAAGACAAATATCATATGACTTTACTCATATGAGGACTTTAAGATACAAAACAGATAAACATAAGGGAAGGGAAGCAAAAATAATATAAAAACAGGCAGGAGGACAAAAACAGAAGAGACTTTTAAATACGGAGAACACACCCCTTACTGAAGGGGTTGTGGGGATGGGGGATGGGCTAAATGGGTAAGGGGCATTAAGGAATCTACTCCTGAAATCATTGTTGCACCATGTGCTAACTAACTTGGATGTAAATTTAAAAAATAAATTAAAATTAAAAAAAGAAAAGAAAGTGAAGTTTGGTCTTTATTTAAAGTCCTTATTTAAGTCTCAACTGGGCCATGAACTTGGGTTATTCAAGGGAACTTACTGGGACTATATTGAATCTTTGGTTTTCCCATTAAAAAAAAAAAAAGTTTATTCTGAGAGAGAGAGAGAAAGTGTGAGCAGAGAGAGAGGGAGAGAGAGAATCCCAAGTAGGCTCCCAGCTGTCAGCACAGAGCCTGACTCAATCTCACGAACTGTGAGATGATGATGACCTGAGCCAAAGTCAAGAGTCAGAAGTCCAACCAACTGAGCCACCCAGGCGCCCCTGGTTTTATCATTTTTAAAAAAATTTTTTTTTATGTTTTATTTATTTCTAGGAGAGAGAGAGAGAGAGAGAGACAGTGCGAGCAGGGGAGGGTCAGAGAGAGAGGGAGTCACAGACTGAAACAGGCTCCAGGCTCTGAGCTGGCAGTCAGCACAGAGCCTGACGCGGGGCTCGAACCCACGAACCGCGAGATCATGACCTAAGCGAAAGTCGGACGCTTAACCGACTAAGCCACCCAGGCGCCCCTGGTTTTATCATTTTTAAGTGAGATCATTGACTGTAAAAACTCATGCCCCCTCCCCGCAAGGTTCCTGTGAGAGTCACTTTTATAAAGTGGTAAAGCTCTATTTAACAGGAAAGGGTTATAAAAGGTACCACACCTACCCTTGTTTCCCTCCCTGCCCAGCCTTCATCCCACAGGCTTGTCAGCAACCTCTCAACAGCATCCTCCTTCCTTCACCTTCTGGATGGGGCTGGAATCTACCTTGATACTCTCTGTACTAGGCCTCACTCCAGGGCCCTACCTGCGTGTAGCTGCTGCCTACCTACCTGTCACTCACAACCCAATCTAACTTTGATCCCCGTCCTCATATGTTAAAATTCTGAGCAACTCAGAGTGAAGGTGTAGGCAGGAAGAATGAAGGGTCTCCAGAAACAGAAAGACAAGACATAGCTTTCTTGACATAAGAAAAATCATTTAGGCCCCCAGCCATCTTGTGAAAGACTATAAGAGCAAATAAGAGATCATCTATCTTATCAGGGACGAAAAATCAGTGGTAAAATTCTCAGTGTTGGTTCAAAGTAAAGATTGGGCTGACACACATTCTTAAGCCCTCTCTGTAGGACCTAAACCCATTTGAAAACTCAAATACTAGACCAACTAAAACCAGAGAAACGATGATGCTGGCCCCTCCAGACCCTCGTGACTCCATCACCCTAAGATGACTTCTGCCCCAATTCCGTGCTGAATTCCCCACTGCTCAAGCCCTTTCATGAATATGTATGTGCCCTTAGCTTGAAACTTCCTTAATTTTGTTGTTCAGGGAGACACTGCTTTGGGAAATATTCCCAGTATCTCCTTTACTTGTTACAAATAAAATCCTTTCTTTCCCTATTCTTTGACTTGGTTGTGTCTTTCAGCTCAGCATCCACCAAGAGGTGGGCCAGTTTGGGGTAACAAACGTGCCCCCAGGTAGCATTGCAAGATAAGATACAGGAAGCCTCATTAAATGA